TAACAGAGTAGAATTGCTTCATAGGGTTTCCAAGACTAAACCTTTCCGGAAGTAAACAGCCTCATTTTTCTCCTGTGGATCAGTTGGAGGATTTGAACCACCAATCATAATTAGCAGTCTAACACTTAACCCACTGCACTACCAAGGTCCCTAATTTTTCTATTTAAGCATTCCGAATCCTCAACTCAATTACTTATAGCTTGAAATTCATGAAAACAAAGTTGCCTATTTAGTGTTTTAATCTAATATACTTTTTGATGGTATACTGTACAGAGCTTCAAACTTTAATGTAAAACCAAATCACCTATGGGTCATATAAATAGGTAGATTCTGGGCCAACACTCTACGGTAGATCTTAATATTGTGTTTTTCTAACAATCTCCAGATGATGATGCCCTTGCTGTTTTGGACACCTGAAATAGCAAGCTGGGGTGAACTCCTTTTTCTCTTCATTTCTATCTTTCTTGCTCTTTTCTTTTTTAAGATTTTATTGTGAATTGAGTGATAGTTCACATGGGCGAGCACCAGCTTTATTATATTCACTCTATTGTATTTCATTTCATTGCAATGATTACAATCCCCTCCATGCATCATCATCCAACAGCATTTCCTTCCAATCCCTCTGTTGTTTTTTTTGTTTTGTTTTGTTTTGTTTTGCTTTTCTTTTGGATGTACACCAAAGCACTCAGGAATATATAACCGTTCGAACAACCAAAGGTCATACCCTGCAAACCTGCCCCCCGGCCACCAGCACACAGTCCCTCTTCCTCCTTTGGTCTAGAGTCCCCAGCCACTCTGTCTCTCCATGTCATCATCTCTGCCTCCATCTCTGGTGTCACTTCTTCTTTGGATAGGGTCCCACACACACTCCGCTCTTCTCCCTTGATGGTCCCAGGGTCCTCCCCTCCTTGACTGCATGATCAATCACTCCCCTTCTTTTGTTATAAAACATCTACCTTTTCAACCCTCACAGTCAGTCCTGATAAAAATTATTCACTATTATACCACAAGAGTCTTATCCCCATCTCCTTTCACCAGCCCCGACTAGATAGGTTGGAAACCACTCAGTGCAGAGTCTACCTTCCCCTGCACTATCTGAGACTAAGCTCCTTCTTGAAAACTTGCAAGCCAGTCATTTCCTGCCTTTGTAGCCGTCCCTGCCCTCCATTTTGGGTAGCAATGTCTAAGTTGCCCATCCCTGTCAACCCTGTATACAGAGGGGGTGGGAATGATCCTTGCTGTAAAGATTCGTTCCCTCTTTTAAGCTACTACATCCATAAGTATAGGTCAAGTTCATCAAATTGTAGCGGATTACACTTTTTTTCCTTGTTTCTTTCTCTAGTTGAATTCTGACCATCCAGCCATTGAAGCTTGGTCAAATGGGTACTATCTGCAAATATGGGCATTCTTGTTCATCTCCCGAAAACTTTTGACGGGAATCCATACTATATGGTATGATATGTGACCAAGCATTCACCAACCAGAATCTTCCCTAAGATGTCATCTGGGAACGCAGGTTAATTTTCTTGTATCAGCTATAATAACTGGAAGGAACCCTGGTAGCAAAGTATGTTGCGTGTTGGGCTGCTAACCACAAGTTCAACAGTTTAAATCTACCAGCCGCTCCGTGGGAGAAAGATGAGGCTGTTTCTGTAAAGATGTATACAGCTTTGGAAAAAGCACTACGAGTAGGAACTGACTTGACAGCATACAACCACCACTGAAGTCATCTTTTTTGGTCCATCTAATATGTAAGAGTAAAGCCAATATAAAAACAGGATAAGTGAACAAAGATAAAGAGGTAACAATAGTGTATCTCCAGGGCATTTTTAGTATTTCTGGATCTAAATGTGCTTAAAATGAATCCTCCCTAGAATTATTAGTGAATACATTGTTTACTTGATGGTTTGACTTTTTCAATATGAAACTCATGGATATCTGACTCATAGCGACCCTATAGTACAGAAAAGAACTAGTCCATAGGGTGTCCAAGGCAGTCATCTTTAAGGAAGCAAATTGTCACATTTATCTTTTATGGAGGGAGTGGCTAATGGGTTTGAACCACAGACAGTTTGGTTAGCAGACTAGAAGTTTAAACACTGCTTTAACCTCAGTGCCACTATGGCTCCTTTTTAAAATGAAAAGCTCAAATAATTATATGGCACTCAGCCATTCAATAAATTATAATTAACTGAAAAGGGAAACTTGAGTAGTTTAATTAATGCAAAAGCAGAGCAAGATAGGACCAAAAGTCAAACTCACTGTTGTCAATTTCAAATCATAGCAACTCTACTGGACAGACAAATTGCCATAGAGTTTCAATGTATAATCTTTTTGGAAGCCACATCTTTCTCCCACAGAGCTACTGGTAGTTTGGAATCAACCTCAGTAAGCAGTTGAATGCTTTAACCACAGCATAATCAGGGACTCTCCCCAAATAAACATTGTGTCACTTATGTAAGAGACAATGTATTGAATTCAAATTAAAATTTAGAAGCAACGTATTTAATGTAAACTTAGAAGCAATGCATTTTGTTGTAATAGTTGATTGGAAACAGTTTCCTTACCTAAAATCTCTATTATAATCTCATACCTTCAGTGGTGAAAAGATCTGTGAGATCTAAATATCCATGTTGTAGGTATCAACTCACATATTTTGGTTAAGGTCACATCTAAATTTGTACAATGTAGGTACAGTCTTCTGGTCCTTATTTCCTTTCTCCATACTTTGAGTCCTAATTAATAAGTTGTATATATTGGTGGCTCTTGTTGAGTAAAAGACATAGCAGTATACTTCTGTAAAATTAAATGATTGTAAGTACACACAAAATGTAGTATCCACATGCGTTTGTAATATTTGTTAGGTGTGTACACATTGGGGAAGAAAATATGGGAGAATCATACAAGGCACATGAACAACTTGATAGTTTATGCTTGAATGTGAATGTAAGAACATTGAAAAAAGATTAATTTTAAATGTGATTTCGAAAGTACTTCTAACTTTACCAATCACTATAATATACATTCTTTTAAGCGTATACTGGAAAAACTTGGACCTCAAAGTGAAATATTTTACTTGGCTAAATCTGCTTCATATACAATTAAGTGTCAAGCGGGTTCTGATGATTAGCCACCCTGTATAGGATTTCTGAGACTTTCAATCTTCTCAAGAGCAAAAAGCGTATCTTTCTACTGAGGAGTGACTGGTGGGCTTGAAATATAGACTCTGTGGTTCAGCCCAGTGCTGTTGTATGGAGCTACCACACTCTCTCACATACAATTGTTGCTAAATGCTGTTGAGA